ATAAGTAAACAAGTAAATAAGTAAATTAGTAAATAAGTAGATAAGTAAATAAGTAAATAAGTTAAAAAGTAAATAAAGTAAATAAGTAAATGAGTAAATAAGTAAATAAGTGAATAAGTAAATAACTAAATAAGTAAATAACTAAATAAGTAAACAAGTAAATAAGTAAATTAGTAAATAAGTAGATAAGTAAATAAGTAAAAAAGTAAATAAGTAAATAAGTAAATGAGTAAATAAGTAAATAAGTGAATAAGTAAATAACTAAATAAGTAAATAACTAAATAAGTAAACAAGTAAATAAGTAAATAAGTAAATAAGTAAATAAGTAAACAAGTATAAGTAAATAAGTAAATAAGTAAATAAGTAAATAAGTAAATAAGTAAATAAGTAAATAAGTAAATAAGTAAATAAGTAAATAAATAAGTAAATAAGTAAATGAGTAAATAAGTAAATAAGTGAATAAGTAAAAAGTAAATAAGTAAATAAGTAAATAAGTAAATAAGTAAATAAGTAAATAAGTAAATAAGTAAATAAGTAAATAAGTAAATAAGTAAATAAGTAAATAAGTAAATAAGTAAATAAGTAAATAAGTAAATAAGTAAATAAGTAAATAAGTAAATAAGTAAATAAGTAAATAAGTAAATAAGTAAATAAGTTAAAAAGTAAATAAAGTAAAATAAGTAAATAAAATAAATAAGTAAAATAAGGAAATCAGTGAAACATTAACATGGTGGGCTTCTCGCTATTCCTGTGGTGACCAAACAGGTAGATGCTCTATATCAATGATATATTCCTACTTCTCTAAGACAAGGTGGAAGATTTCATCTTCTTTTTAATTAGGTTCTACTAAGATAATCAAGTTCTGTTGTTTACGACTTGACTGTAAAAACTTTACTCTCAGTTAACCAATTCTACACACACATCTTTAAATACTTTCAATTGAGGTAGCTTATCAAAGAACGCTTATCATATTTGCACCTATATTCTAGATCTTTCAGTATTTACGAGCATGAAAGCTTCAAACCGTACTTATTCAATAAAGGTCAAAGTATCAAATTTCTTGGCACGTTTTACTGCACTTTATAATCAAGGGCGGCTTAAAAACTTTAGCAGCTTTTATTATTTAATGCAGATACTGCCAAGCTTTCCTACTTGGGTGATAATGCCAAAGATTAAAAAGAAATCGAGCAGGACGATGTTGATGATCTTTTGCAGGAAGCTACTGTTGTTGATTGGAATTCTCATGTCTTTTTCTATACTTATAGAGTTATTTATCATTATTATCAGCGTTTGCGTCAACCTTTTTTTAACCAAACTCACAATTAAGTTTGGCTTATACACAAGAGCCGCTAATAATCTAATAAATAAGATATATAGTAGAATTCAAGATCTGATTAATAATCGATGTATTGCTTATCATGTTATGAAAGTTTGTGTCTACTAAAGATTCTGCCAGATCAAATCTTTTTCAGGGTTATCTAGAATCTACTTTGTGCAAAATCCAGCAATAAAAATTTCTTTGAAGAATATCTTGTTGAGAAAGATGAAAGTTTCGAATGGAGGATATTAAGTATTGAAAGTCTCTAATGTTTTCCTAAGCAGACGGAAAATTGAATTTTATATTTCATTAACAACTTGTAAATAGCGGTACTTAAATAAAGAAAAAATCTTAAAAAGAACAAAAAACCAATTTCATCACTCTATGGTATATTTTAGAAGCAGTTTGTAGCTATGAAGATGTAATGTGACGTTAGTTTGGGATGTCATGAAAGCACAAAATGAACAGACTTTGACTGTCAAGTAACGACTTTATTTATGTAAGTTACAAAATTTTGTTAGATTTAATTCAAGGCTTACCGCGTCAGTATATCTCTCTTCTTGAACAGATGGTATTGTTATTTACTCTCTTATTTTATAAGAAACGAGTACCGGGCAATCAGAAAAATTGAAAAACTCCAGTACTCATATCAAAATAATGAAGAAGCAACTAAATTTTGAAAAGGTCTAAGAAGACTCGGAAAAATCTAAGAACTTTATCAAAATTATTGTCTGATGGACATCAAAATTTGGACACAAAGAATAAGAAAACACTTCCTGCATCTAAAAACAGTATTTGAACAGAAGCAAATCTTTTGACAGAAATGTCACTGAGCTTTTAAAAATCGATAGGAACATCGACGGGTCACATTGTTTGGAACTATAAAATCCCTCCCCAAGCAGTTTCTGTCGGGATATTTCCTAAGGAACTCAATTTTTAATTAATGACGTCACTTTTTGTAAACTCAAAGGAAACAATGAGTATTGAAATTTTCCAAAACGTTTAGAAACTGGAGTACTTAGCTTCAACCATCGCTTCTTAATAAAATGGGCCTATTTGAGACTATTAGATTCTACAATAGTTTCTGGATGTTTAAAAAATTGGCTATGCTTATTGAGCCAAAATAGATTAAATGAAATATCTTGAAATTTCACGGTGAAATTAATATCTTACAAATCAACATTGTTATATTATCTAGTGATCACCAAATCTGAGCTTGCTTTATTCACTCTAGTCAAAAATATGAAACAAAACCCAGATTTAAGGAAAATAAAAAGCATATTTACAGAAAAATCAAATCATGTGGAGACCTTAAGAGTAACCATTTTAAGTAGCTAAATTTTACTAAATTATCTTACTGATGGTTTAACTAATAAGATTTGCAAAATATACTGTCAATATAAATCGTCCACTGATATCCTGTTTCAACTTTTTTCTTGTCAAATTACCTTCCTTTCAAATATATGGCTTTATGAGACATGTTTATAAACAAAACAAATCAAAATAGGTGCGCAAAATAATGGACGACAGCCAAGTCAAACAGGACGATGCTACAACCAGTATATCAGACATTAGGTTTAAAAATGAACCATTTTTATTTATCTTACTATTTCAACCAACATTAGGGGCAATATATTTGTTTTCTACCAAATTTTGCTTGGCTTATAGCCAAAAATCAAAGGCAAAGAATGAACAATTAAAAAAACTAGATAGAAGTTGATAGAAAGAAAACCAAACTTTAGAATGTGCAACATTCAGACCGAGCTCTGCCAATTATCTGAAAGACGTCGCCATTACGATTTAAGCACAACCAAAGTTTGCTACTAAATGCAGCTCAATGGCAAATTCCTAAGATTAATAAGATGTAAATTCACATTAGTCAATCTTCTAGCCCGTATAAGCAGTATAAAATTCCATCGCATATTTTTAACTGATAAGGTTATGGAAGCCAATTCTGATAATCTTCATGCTGAAATAACATAAAGGACAAATTGAAAGGATAGGATTAGGATGAAAGATATCTACCAGGAAAAAATCTTCAGAAATATTTTTCAACAAACATAAAGGTAAGATAAGGATTTATAATACTCAACAAACATACCAGCTACTCGGATCTATTATTCATGAAAAAGTGATAATACAATGTTTGCTTCGCTCTAATGAAAGGGTAGGACAAGGGTTAATGATACTCAACCAACATTTCAGCAGGTAGGATCTCGATATTAATGATTTCTTGATGATACATTGTTGATGTTCACTTATGAAAGGGTACGATAAGGATTTATGTTACTTAACAAACATACCAGCCATTCGGATTTATTATTAATGAAAAGTGGTAGCTCATTGTTGGCTATATTCGTATGAAAGTGTGCAAGAAGACTTTGAGATGTTATTCAACTTATTTAGCCTTGCATCATTTTTGGAATAGACTTTGAGATTATTGCGAATGGCCACAATTTTATTATGAAGATTAATGCCCCCTGTGGTATCTTAATTGTACTGTATTTGTAGTGGTGTTTTGTAGATTTCTATCAAAATAAATAACTTATGTAGCAGCTAGTTGCACTTTGAACATAGTGATTAATTGATAAGGCCGGCTTTTCCCTTATGAAAGGGTACGATAAGGAGAAATTTTTCTACCACAAACATATACTTCAATGGGATCCTAATATTAATTGCAGATAAAGTGGCAACCTCTTTTCATCAATTAAAATTGTGGACATCTTGGATACATTAGTTGGCTTGTATTCTCTCATCAATACCCTTCAGATAAAACATGTAAAACCATTTTTTGGTAGAACTTTTGTCACCCCTTCATATAACCAAAACTTTTTTGCAATTGTCGGTGGTCGAAATTTTGCGCTGGTGTCTCTTTAACTTGGTAATTCTTAACAAGCTGCATAGATTGAGAATAATTGAAAATCAGTATGTAAAAGCTAACATTTCGTTAAACGTATAGTCAAATAAGTTTATCAAAGGAACATTAGAGTGTCGATAACGTTAAGGTAGTTCGTTACTTGATTTATTTCCAAAAAGCGCAACGAAAAATTTAATTAATTCAACTATTTATTTGCAAAGCTGCAATCGATTTTAATGGTTTGATTCCTAGGGTAGCATTATTTTTATGCTTCTCATTCCTGTTCATTTATAACAGCTGATAGACTATGTTCGCTACTTGAAGACTCATTGCTAACAATGGGCCTTTGCGAGCGTGGCGACGGTCCAAACAATGGCATTAAACTTCTACGGATTAACCAAAATTGATTTCAGACAGTCTGAAAATGCATTATGGGATACTTACGTTGCGCAATGACTCATTGTTAGCAATGAGTCTTTAACATTTCATGGAAATCAAACACAATACTTTTACCAGCACATTGTACAGAACCATGGCAAAAGGATTTGGTGAAAAGGTGATTAGTATAGCGGCACCAGGACAATTCAGGTGAACAGCAAAACGGAATCCAAAGCAACTCATTGGCTGTTGTCATTGCAAATGCTGCACGTTCATCTTGCAAAGGTATAACTTCAACAGTGCTTAGTTTCGCTTAGTTCACGCTAAACGCAACTATCAGGCAGCATATAATGACTTAGAATCGATTTGACACAAATTATACAAATAATAGACACCAGAAAGTTTGAAGGCTTGTATATCTTTGCTATCAGACTATAGGTTTAGAAGATTAACCAATTTTACGAATCTTATCATTATGGGTTATATACATGTTTTAGACCATCTTTTGCTTGGATTATAGCCTAGCATTAAGAAAGAAGAATAAACAATTAAAAATTTGCTGGAAGTTGATAAAAAGAAACCAAAACAGTTAAAAATGCAACATTCAGACTTTTTTCTGTTGAGTATTATTGAGAAAGATCTATTTTGCTTGAAGTGCAACTGAATTGAAAAAATCAAAAAAAATTTTATTGATGTTCTTAGTCAAGTCAGTGCTCCTGAATCCGATGGTGAAGTTTGTTTTTTTTGGAATTGGGAAGTGTTTTGAAGCTACAACGCTTCAAAGATGCGATTCTCAAGACTTTTTGTCCGAAACTTTGTGCGCGGTCTGTGAGGAATTACAGGAATGCGTGACGCATTAACGTTTATAAGTCGCGGAAGTGATGCTTCAGTACTGAAAACTGTATTTCGAGTGCTATAAAAAACCCAAAAAACGTGAAGTGGATGGAAATAGTGCAATAATTGTGCTCTAAATATCACTAGCTATCTAACTACAAGAAACGTGCAAGGTATTTATTTGCGAAAATTTCGAACCCATACGAAATAAGCAAACTTTTTACCTGTTGTGAATTATTGAGCGTGTCGAATAAGAATGCTTTTACGAACAGCTTTACAAATTTTAAATAAAAGTGAGCAAATTGATCAAAAGAAAAGTTGATCTATTATAGAACCACACAAATTGCACATTTTTCGGCGCTTTTCCCAATTTCCAACTTGCGTTGCCACTGTCAAAGCATCAGTTATCGCCAGGGCCGTCAAGATGGGATAAATTGCCCCAGGGCAGGCACCGCGGAGCGATGAGAAAACTGGGGTGTTTAAAAAAAGTGGGGGGCTAAAACCGTACAAAAGAGGCTTTTCTGGTAGTTTGATACTTAATATTTGGCATTTTTTGCATAAAGCCCCCCAGCCCCCCCTGCTCCGCGGTGCCTGCAGGGCCTCGTCGTCAGGGCAGGGGGCCTCAAAAAGTAAAGAAGTTCATTTTAAATGGAGTTTATTAAAAGTAAAAGCAAAATTATGCCTTAAAAAGTAAAACTTTTTAAACGTTTGCAAGAAAAAAATCAATTTAAGCTCATCTAGAGTTCATGGTTACAAATATCTGTTCGCCTATCCATTTTGGCTTCAAGAACGTCTTGGCGTCCCTGGTTGGGCAGTAGCATTATTGTTAGCATCATTTCCATGGTATCGTGATCCGAAATGAAAATTATGATAATAACTTGATTTATCTGGAACCTTGTTCTCCAGTCTCTAAGTAGCACGGTGGGGTATCTTTAAGCGTCTATTCATACCCTATCTCTTTTGGCGTATCAAAATGCCTATCTCTATCAAGTTTCATGCTGGTATCGCGATCTAATTGTTAAACTGTGACAACTACTACTAAGAGGTTTGAATTCTAGTACCCCTGTCTATAGATAGCACAAGGGAAATTTTTCAGCGTCTATTCGCATCCTTTCTTTTTCAGCGTATCAAACTGCTTATCTCTACAAAGTTTCATGCTGATATCGCGATCTAAAAGTTAAATTATGACAATCACTGCTTAGAGGTTTGGAACCTAGTACCCCAGCGTCAATTCATATCATATCTTTTTCAGCGTATCAAACTGCCTATTACTACAAACTTCCATGCTGGTATTGCGATCCAATGGCAAAATTGTGTCAATTACTGCTTAGAGGTTTGGAACCTAGTACCCCACTCTATAAATAGCACAAATGGATATTTCTAAGCGTCTATTCACACCCCATCTTTTTCAGCGTATCAAACAGCCTATCTCTATCAAGTTTCATGCTTGTATCATGTTTTACACAATTTGTAGCTTTTTATCTTCTTACAGCCCTCACTATGGCTGAATTGACTATATAAATCTTAATTCGTCACTCGCCCAGCCTCTTTTCACACGACCTACTCGCAAAAGAACCCCAGAAACCCCTATTTGTGGGCCCCAAATTTAAAAAGTAAACTTTTTTCAAAATAAGCGATGATTAGTATACCAGATTCAGCAATAAAAAATTTCATTTTTTAAATGATTTGGAAAAGAACAGCTTCTGGAAGTAGATAATAAAAATGAATGTTTCCTGAAACAATTTCTATAGAGGTAAAATGAATTACAGCAGTTTGTCATATCTGTGAAAAAGTAAAATACCAGGGCAATCAGGAAACTAGATATTTAACAAAATTCTAATAAACAACGTTCTTTTAATGTAGAGTCTTTTTTTACTTTTCAGTTCGTCTCAAGAATTAGGAAAATGTTCCTGATACATCTGCTTTTTGCATTGACCTTCAATAAAGTCATGGCTGTTGATAATAATAAACATTCGGTGATGTTTGAAGTGATACAAAACCCAACAAACGAGCAGACAAGCATGTTCCATGAATCATTTCACGAATGTAGCAGAAGTGGACCATGCAATTTTGTTGCAAAGAATATAACAACACGCAAATATTATACATACAACAAAGAAGATGATATTCCTCAAGACCGGAAAATGCTGATAATATGGAAACGAAAAAGTACTTTATTCAACATTTCAGTTCTCTTTTTCTGGAAGAATTTTCAAGATTTATGTTACGTAATTCTCATTACCCTTGAAATATTTCGATGGATGACATCTTACCTATTGAGAATAGATCGATTAACTGGAAGGCGGAAAAGTCTATACCGTAGCGATTTCTTTTATTTTTCTGCATTGATTCTAAAATTATGCTAATTATGAAAAGGCGATTCTCTATTATTCGCTTTTAATACATTCAGGTGCGAAGTCATTTTAAAATGATCAGTTTATACTTGACCCTTGAGATTTTCAATGCACTCTAAACACTCTACCAATGATTTTATTTCCTTCTTTTAAATGAAAGGAAAGTATTCCTGTCTTGATTGGCGATATGATTCTGCAATGGTCAATGGGATATACAGAATATCAGATGATGACGGAGTTGAATTCAACGTTTACTGCGATTTCACATCAGAACCAAACTCAGTATGGACCCTGATCGAATCCTTCTCATTGGATAAAAACAATATGTTCAAGAACAAGCCATTCAAAATTGATTTCTCTTACAGTGAAGATTCTCCAAACTGGGGCAGTTACAGGTTAAACCTTCTTACCATTGCTTTTTTGTTCATCGCGACAGGAAATTGTTATGAAAAGAAGAAAAATAAGATTTTCTGAATTCTACTCCTTCACAATGAAATGGAATATTTGGTGTTGAATAAAAACAAGTTTAGAAATTAATTGGGAAATGCTTTCTACGTTTGGTAGAGGTTTAGGTAGAGGTATTTATACCAAGCTTTTATCAAAGCTGTGATTTATAGAGCAGGAGGGTTCGAAGGTGCTTCAAGCTCAATACGATCATTGATCACTAGTCGGATTTAAAAATTATATTCTTGCACATAATAGAGCATTAAGAAAAAATGAATATGCTTCTTAATCTGAATTTTTACATTTTCTAGACTCAGCAAGACAAGGATCGAGAAACTCAAGTTAAGATCAACCCATTGGAGAGCAACATGCAGCTTCGATGTTTTTGGTGTTGATTATCGAGATTACGTCAGATTCAAACTTTCTGCATTTGATCCCCTTTGTTGTTTCATAAGTAAAGCTCCTATACATGTAGAACTTGTAAACATTAGAGGGTACAGCGCTACGGAGCAATTAGTTGATTTTTGGCAAGATGAAGGAGAACATCTAAATATTGACTCTGAGAAAAATGTCAGTTTTTTGCAAGCAAAGGAAGGATCCGTTAAAAGTGAAGATAATTTTGGACTATATGAATACCAAAATTCAGCATTCCGATGCACTGCCAATAGCAGCAGCACTACTCAACATTGGATTGGAACGAACTACCCTTGACTCTGTTTTTATTTGCCACAATCTTATGTTATGATTCAAATAGAATCGAGATTTTGAATTACCGTCGTGTTCCCGCAAATCACAGTGTAAAAAATATATAAAAGCTAAAGTTATTAGTTATGACTGTTCCAACCCTCCTCCTCTGCTCTTATTAGGACCCCTCGCCAATTGATTTTGGCAGTTTTGTGTTAATTACAGTAGTGAAAAAAACGTAACATAAGCTAAATGTTGTCAATGATAGATAATAGCGATAAAATAGTGAAATAAGCGCACTGATTTTAAATGTATTTTCAGTATTCAGTATATGTAACTTCATAATTAAAGCCCCCCCGGTAATTGGAACCCTCCCCCACCAATTAATGTTAAACATAAAATCCGACCTCCAACGGTTTTTCTGCCCCCCCCCCTCCCCGCCCGGAAATTAGGCACCTATGAGTATGACACAAACCAATATTCACAAGACTTTTGCTTAATATCGACGGCCAAAACATACATTTGATGTAGGTCTTGCAAGGATGTAGACAAGGATGTAGAAGCATCAAAGCTTTTTATTATATGAGTAATTTACCGACATCTAAGTGACGAAAATAATAGCCTAACAATTTTATCAAGTCTGATTGAATCTTCCAATGATTAGGATGAGAATTAAGCTCGTAGTTATAGCCTAGAGCCATCCTACTTTACCCAACACACCATGTACAGTCGTGTTAATTCATCATCGTTGCGTACCTTAAATTTTCTATAAAAATGCCAGCTACTGGGCAACCGTATAGGATTCAAAAACTTCAATACTCGAGGCAAAATGTTTAAAATCTATGGGTTTTTAAAAAATTGGAAAACTCAATAATTGGGTGAAAATTAGTGGCAATAGGTATGACAAGGCGCAAGATTTGTAACTGCAAAAACCCCCACCACAACAAAATATTTAAATATCTTCAAAAATACTTTCAATCAAGGTAGCAAAGGCGGCAGCTCGTTTGCAGCTGAAAACTGATACCAGACAATCATTCATTGCACTTGAAAATCCAAGAGAGCAGCTGTAGCTGAAAGGAGATCATTGAGTTTCAACTACGAAAACCAGTAATAACAATGTTAAGATCACTAATCACTAATCACTAATCACTAATCACTAATCACTAATCACTAATCACTAATCACTAATCACTAATCACTAATCACTAATCACTAATCACTAATCACTAATCACTAATCACTAATCACTAATCACTAATCACTAAACACTAATCACTAATCACTAAACACTAATCACTAATCACTAATCACTAACAAGTAAAAGGCAAATTGCAAAGGAAAATTGAATTTCTAAGGTTTTAATTATTATTATCAGCACTCTATCAGATTATTGATGTCTTTCCCATCTCTCCAATAGTTGCAGCTAAATTCTAGATCTTTCAGTATTTACGAGCATGATACCTTCATATCATACTTACTCAATTAAAGACAGCAGCATCAGATTTTTTGGCCCGTTTTACTGCACTTTATAATCAAGGGCGGCTTAAAAACTTTAGCAGCTTTTATTATTTAATGCAGTTACTGCCAAGCTTTCCTACTTGGGTGATAATGCCAAAGATTAAAAAGAATTAGGGCAGGACGATGTTGATGATCTTTTGCAGGAAGCTACTGTTGTTGATTGGAATTCTCATGTCTTTTTCTATACTTATTAAGTTATTTATCATTTTTATCATCGTTTGCGTCAATCTTTTTTTACCAAACTTACAATTAAGTTCGGCTGATACACAAGAGCCGCTAATAATTTAATAAATAAGGTATATAGTAGAATTCAAGATCTGATTAATAATCGATGTATTGCTTATCATGTTATGAAAGTTTGTGTATACCAAAGATTCTGCCAGATCTAATCTTATTCAGGTTTATCTAGAAGCTATTTTGTGCAAAAATCTACCAATAATAATTATTCTGAAGATTTTCTTGTTGAGAAAGATGAAAGTTTCGAATGAAGGAGATAAAGTATTGAAAGTCTCTAATGTTTTACTGAGCAGACGGAAAATTGAATTTTATATTTCATTAGCAACTTATAAATAGCGGTAATTGAATAAAGAAAAAATAAAAAAAGAATAAAGAACCAATTTCATCCCTCTATGGTATATTTTAGAAGCAATTTGTAGCTATGAAGATGCAATTTGACGTTAGTTTGGGATGTCATGAAAACAAAAAATGAACAGACTTTGACTGTAGAGTAACGACTTTATTTCCCTCATTTTGTATGTTACAAAATTTCGTTAGATTTAATTCATGGCTTACCACGTCAGTATATCTGTCTTTTTGAACAGGTGATGTGGTTATTTACTCTCTTAATTTAGAAACGAGTACCGGGCAATCAGAAAAATTAAAAAACTCCATTACTCAAATCAAAATAATGAAGAAGCAATTTAATTTTAAAAAGGTCCAGGAAGACTCGGAAAAATCTAAGAAATTTATCAAAATTATTGTCTGATGGACATCAAAATTTGGACACAAAGAATAAGAATACACTTCCCTCATCTAAAAACAGTATTTGAACGGAGGTAAATCTTTTGACAGAAATGTCACTGAACTTTTAAAAATTGATAGGAACATCGACGAGTCACATTGTTTGGAACTAAAAAATCCCTCCCCAAGCAGTTTCTGTCGGGATATTTCCTAAAGAACTCAATTTTTAATTAATGACGTCACTTTTTGTAAACTCTAAGGAAACAATGAGTATTGAATTATCTTACAAATCAACATTGTTATATTATCTAGTGATCACCAAATCTGAGCTTGCTTTATTCACTCTAATCAAATCTATAAAACAAAACCCAGATTTAAGGAAAATAAAAAGCATATTTACAGAAAATTCAAATCATGTGGAGACCTTAAGAGTAACCATTTTAAGTAGCTAAGTTTTACTAAATTATCTTACTGATGGTTTAACTAATAAGATTTGCAAAATATACTGTCAATATAAATCGTCCACTGATATCCTGTTTCAACTTTTTTCTTGTCAAATTACCTTCCTTTCAAATATATGGCTTTATGAGACATGTTTATAAACAAAACAAATCAAAATAGGTGCGCAAAATAATGGACGACAGCCAAGTCAAACAGGACGATGCTACAACCAGTATATCAGACATTAGGTTTAAAAATGAACCATTTTTATTTATCTTACTATTTCAACCAACATTAGGGGCAATATATTTGTTTTCTACAAATTTTGCTTGGCTTATAGCCAAAAATCAAAGGCAAAGAATGAACAATTAAAAAAACTAGATAGAAGTTGATAGAAAGAAAACCAAACTTTAGAATGTGCAACATTCAGACCGAGCTCTGCCAATTATCTGAAACACGTCGCCATTACGATTTAAGCACAACCAAAGTTTGCTACTAAATGCAGCTCAATGGCAAATTCCTAAGATTAATAAGATGTAAATTCACATTAGTCAATCTTCTAGCCCGTATAAGCAGTATAAAATTCCATCGCATATTTTTAACTGATAAGGTTATGGAAGCTAATTCTGATAATCTTCATGCTGAAATAACATAAAGGACAAATTGAAAGGATAGGATTAGGATGAAAGATATCTACCAGGAAGAAATCTTCAGAAATATTTTTCAACAAACATAAAGGTAAGATAAGGATTTATAATACTCAACAAACATACCAGCTACTCGGATCTATAATTCATGAAAAAGTGATAATACAATGTTTGCTTCGCTCTAATGAAAGAGTAGGACAAGGGTTAATGATACTCAACCAACATTTCAGCAGGAAGGATCTCGATATTAATGATTTCTTGATGATACATCGTTGATTGTTCACTTATGAAAGGGTACGATAAGGATTTATGTTACTCAACAAACATACCAGCCATTCGGATTTATTATTAATGAAAAGTGGTAGCTCATTGTTGGCTATATTCGTATGAAAGTGTGCAAGAAGACTTTGAGATGTTATTCAACTTATTTAGCGTTGCATCATTTTTGGAACAGACTTTGAGATTATTGCGAATGGCCACAATTTTATTATGAAGATTAAAGCCCCCTGTGGTATCTTAATTGTACTGTATTTGTAGTGGTGTTTTGTAGATCTCTATCAAAATAAATAACTTATGTAGCAGCTAGTTGCACTTTGAACACAGTAATTAATTGATAAGGCCGGCTTTTCCCTTATGAAAGTGTATGATAAGGAGTATTTTTTCTACCACAAACATATACTTCAATGGGATCTTAATATTAATTGCAGATAAAGTGGCAAGCTCTTTTTATTAATTAAAATTGTGGACATCTTGGATACATTAGTTAGCTTGTATTCTCTCATCAATACCCTTGACATAAAACATGTAAAACCATTTTTTGGTAGAACTTTTGTCACCCCTTCATATAACCAAAACTTTTTTACAATTGTCGGTGGTCGAAATTTTGCGCTGGTGTCTCTTTAACTTGATAATTCTTAACAAGCTGCATAGATTGAGAATAATTGAAAATCAGTATGTAAAATCTAACATTTCGTTAAACGTATAGTCAAATAAGTTTATCAAATGAACATTAGAGTGTCGATAACGTTAAGGTAGTTCGTTACTTGCTTTACTTCAAAAAAAGCGCAACGAAAAATTTAATTAATTCAATTATTTATTTGCAAAGCTGCAATTGATTTTAATGGTTAGATTCCTAGGGTAGCATTATTTTTATGCTTCTCATTCCTGTTCATTTATAACAGCTGATAAACTATGTTCGCTACTTAAAGACTCATTGCTAACAATGGGCCTTTGCGAGCGTGGCGACGGTCCAAACAATGGCATTAAACTTCTACGGATTAACCAAAATTGATTTCAGACAGTCTGAAAATGCATTATGGGATACTTACGTTGCGCAATGACTCATTTTTAGCAATGAGTCTTTAACATTTCATGGAAATCAAACACAATACTTTTACCAGCACATTGTATAGAACCATAGCAAAGGGCTTTGGTGAGAAGGCGATCAGTATAGCGGCACCAGGACAATTCAGGTGAACAGCAAAACGGAATCCAAAGCAACTCATTGGCTGTCGTCATTGCAAATGCTGCACGTTCATCTTGCAAAGGTATAACTTCAACAGTGGTTAGTTTCGCTTA